TTTTTTTCCAGGCTCATAATTAGAACCACTGCCACTATTAACGCATAAGAGGGCAAAACAAGAGGCCATAGTGGAAACAGAGCTAAGAGCCCCTGAGGCCATAGTACAGTGTCTTCCTTTCAAATGCTTCTTTCAAAAATAATTCCTTAACCCTAGGAATCACAGCTGTCACTGCAATAGATATTTGCTCATTTCCAAATGAACCCAATTCACCTGCAGGCTGTTAGGGATCCTCCACAACTTCCTCGCAACTATGCAGAGGAAGACCCAGCTGGTGAGACTCAGCTTGAGGCTTCAAACCCGGCTTCCACTCAGCCTCAGCCTCCCAGCCCACAGCCACTCCAGATGTTGGGACTCAGATCAAGGATTGGGTAGGCGGGCAGCAGTGGCAGCTCTGATTCAAATTTTAAATAATGATAACAATAAAAGTTATTACAGGGCCTGGTAGGTAACTCAGCTGACTAAGCACCTGCTTAGACAAGCACAGGGACCAGGCTTCGATCCCCACCTCCAGACGCACTGAGCTGGCTCCCCAGACCAGAGCACACCTGTAATCCCAGTGCAGGGGAGGCTGAAAACAGGAGGATCACTACAAGTCCAAGCTGCACAGTGAGATCCTGTACCAAATACATTTTTTAAAAAAGTTATCACAAGTGAGGTGTGGTGGTGCATGCACACTTGTAACCCAGCCCTTGGGAAGCTGAGGCAGGAGGATCATTGTGCATTAGAGACCACGCTGGGCTACAAAGTGAGCATAAAGCCAGTCTAAACTGCATAGCAGGACTCTGTCTCAAAAAGACCAGAAAAACAAAAGAGAAGTTATCACAGTTGAGAGACCAAGGAAATAGCTCAGAGGCAAAAGCACCCGCCTGGCAAGTATAGATCTTAAGTTCTATCCCCGATACCAAAAGAAAAGTTATCACAGTTGAAAGGATAAAGAAGTTATGTCACAAATATCAATTACTTATCTCCCTTTCCTATCCTCCCCACCCCTAGCACCTGTTTTCAACTTGCACCAAATGATTTTTTTCAGGAGCTGGGGATATAGTTCATTGGCACAATTACCTGCCTGGCAAGTACAAGGTCCTGAGATTGGTTCCTAGTACAAAAAAATAAAATAAATGATTCTTTCAGCATTTATTTATGCTGTCTGAGTAACATTAATATTATTGATACTTCTGGTTTCTTCCATGCTGGGCATTTACAAGCCATAGCCTTTTCAACATGGCAGAAAATGTCTTAACTCTATTTGCTCCACCCTTATCTCAGCTACCCCACACATGCCCACTTCCCATTCCCCCATCTTCCCAATAAAGTTATATCAACCAAAATAATGACTTCATGATACGAATGATTGGTGTTTGTATTGTTAGGATTGTGTCTATGTCATGCACAATTGAATTTCCCTTTTCTCCACAACTCCCCTTCAAGCCTTGCTTCCATTTATTTAGTTGTATTGCTAGTATCTATCACTACCTCAACCCTTCACGCCCCCCCCCCCGCAGGTGGATAAACCTCTTCTTCATACTTTCAGTACATTTCTTTCATATGGAGTTAATCTTCCCGGAAGTCTTCCAACCAGCTTCAGGTTGAACACATTGCTTCCTGTGCCTGTCACATTGTTCCCTGGCCACGGGGGACTTTCCTTTGGCTTGGTGCTTCCCATTGGCACTCCTTTTGTATTGGAATCTCTGTTTTCTCTACCTTGCCCCTTACACTTTCTAGGTTTTGTCCCCTGTTCTGCTGGAGCACACCCTTTAGCAGCTTCATAAAAGGGAGAGTAGGGAGGTCCTTTTTTTTTTTAATTCTGCATGTCTGAAAATGGGACTCTTCCCTCATACTTCTTGGTAGTTTGAGTACAAGCAGGAAATTCTTTTGCTTCAGAAAGCATTGTTCCACTGACTTTCAGTTTCCAGGCTTGATAACGCTGATGACATTTGTGCCTTTCATTCTTTATTTGAAAATATTTTATGAAATGAGGTTTTATTTATCCTCTCTGAAAGCTTGTCAGATCTCCTCTTCTATTGTGATCTGTAATCAGCTAAAATCCATGGACATATATTGAAAACATGTGCTATGTAGTTTACCTCATTAAATGCTCCTAGGTATAAAAAAATATATACAAATCTGTAGGAAGTGTGAGAGATAAGGAAAACAATATTGATGAGTATGTGACGTCACACATGTAAATTACGCATATGAAGCTAGAAAAGGAAAAATTACCGATTCTAAGTGTATTTTTTAAAGGAAGAATCAACTTGGATCATTTTATTGGACTTTTTCTATGTGTTCAACAAGCTGGTACCTCCCGCATATGCAGCCCCCGCCAGAATTTGACTTAGGGCTCCAAGTTGCTATTAGCCACGAGGGGGCAGACTTTCATCATACTGCCTTCAGTTCAAGGCCAGAGATTTCTTCCTGCTTCCAGGGAGTCAGTGGGAAATAATCAGAGCCCCTTTTCAGGGAGAAATCCTTAAAATATATGTATCAATTCCCTGGAAAGTACACCTAGAGAAACCCGAGGATAGAACATATAAATAGATATAATGTAGTTAGCTGCTCAATAAACTTTTTTCCCTCAAAGTTTGAATACATATTTTTATGTAATATCTACCTAAGTCCTGCTCCAGAAGAGTACATGGGAGAGACCATGTGGAAGGGAAGCCCTTCTCTCTATGGCTTGTTCTGATGCTAACTGGCTGTGAGACTCTGAGGAACACTCCCCTCTTTCTGAGTCTCACTTTCCATACCTGTAAAATGAGGTTAAGCATATATTTTTAAGACTTTGGGGAGAAGGCCATGATGAAATCTTAATAAGATGAGCATCAATTTTTCATTCAATTTATTTTATTTATTTATTTATTTATCTATTTATTTATTTATTTATTTTTGAGACAGGGTCTCCCTCTATAATTCAAGCTGAACTCACTATATAGCCCAGACTGACCTTGAAATCATTGTGATCCTCCTGCTAGGATCATTGATTATAAAGAAATCTTTGACAGGCGTGGTGGTGTATATCTGTAATTCCACTACTCAGGAGGTTGAGGCAGGAGGACTATGTAGTGAGTTTGAGTTCAGCCTGAACATGGAGAGTTCAAGGCCAGCCTGACTGCACAGCAAGATTCTGTCTCTAATTTTTTAAAAAGATCCTACTAGTTCTACTAAAAAGTGAGTGCCTCTGGACAGTGGTCTAGGGACTCACCACAACTAGTGAATCTAGTACCAACTGTTGGCAAGGGTATGGAACATCTGCAACTTTCGAACACTGCTGGTGGAAATATAAATTACTACAAGCTTCTGGAGAACTATTGGGCAGCATCTATTTGGCAGAATGAGAGTTCCCAAGGAACTGGTGACTCTAACCCCACTAGAGGGTGATCAAATTTGGCTTTGTGTTAGGTACATGTACTCTTGTTCACCCTCAGATATTGTTTTGTTTTGTGTAGTTTTGTTTTGTTTTGTTTTGTTTTTTTTGAAAGGGTCTACAGGTGTTCAGGGTCTCACTACTAGATTGGACTAATAGCGATCAGTCTGTTTACAGCCTCCCAAGAGCTAGTATAACAAGCGTGCGCAATGACAGCCGGCCCAGTCTCAATCACGGGCTCAGTGAGCCCTGGGGGCGGGGCCGGACCGGCAGGCCCAGGGATCGAACACCTGGCCCCTGTGCCTGCTTGCAGATGCTTTAATCCGCTCAGCTATTTGGCCAGAACTGTTTTGTTTTGTTGAGGTAGGGTCTCACTACCAAGTGGTTGGATTACAGACAGGCATGTGCCACCATGCCTGGCTCTGAGATTCTGTTCTGAGGTACGGCCTGTATCTAAAATGTTAAGAGCCCCCGCCACCACAAAAAGTCTAGCGTGTGTCTCAAGTTGAAATCACTGCCTCGAGGTGTTAACTTACTCACCGGATATTGGCACCCACTGGCCCTCAAACTTTAATGCACAAACAAAACCTAGGATCTTGTTAACATGCAGCTTCATTCAGGAGGCTGGTGTGGGCCTAAGATTCTTCCCTTCCAACAAGCTCCCAGAGGTTGCCTAGACTGCTGCCCACCAAATGCCATTGGACAGCTGGACTAGAGTTTGAATGAGTATAGACCAAAAGGAGAACGATGGCTTTTCAGGTCAGCAGTAACCTTAAGTAACAAGTCATCTCACCTCTAAGAGCCTCAGGGGGCTGGCCAGATAGCTCAGTGGACTAAAGCGCCTGCTTAGGCAGGGCTCAGCATCGGGTTTCAATCCCCAGTGTCCTGCTGTGCAGGCCCCGCCCCGGGGGCACCTGAGAGGGCAATTGAGAGTGGGCATGGTGGCACAGGCCTGTAATCCCAGTTTTTGGGAGGTTGAACACAGGCGGATCACTGCGAGTCCAATCTACGTACATCTGTAGACCCTGTACTAATTTTTAAAAAAAGTTAAGAGCCTCACAGTGAGGCCATGGGCTTGTAGCTCAGGGGTAGGACCTGTGTTTAGAATCCACAAGGCTCTAGGTTCAAGTCCCAGCACTCTAGTAATGGGATCACAGAATTCAGCTGTGTGTAAGGACATCCAGCACTCACAAAATGCCTGATCTGCCAGGAATTTTCCAAGTGCTCTATAAACTAGGGGGCGAGGGCGGGAGAGGGACCTTGATCTACAGCTACACACCTAGAGGTCGCTGACCTGCAGTATGGACCCAAGGAAAACCCCTGCTCTTGGCCACAGCCACCGTCACCCCTGCCCTGCGGACCTAGCACTGGACCCATAAGCCCTGAGTTCAATCCTCGGTTCCACAAAAAAAAAAAAAAAAAAAACGAAAACGATTCACCCTCTGGTAGAGGCTGGCAGCGGCAGGTGGCAGCCTGGCTCTACGAGGGTGCAAAGACCTCTTTCCAAGACCGGTCACAGAACATCGCACTGGCTGCTTCTTAGGCTTCTCTCCTCTCCACCTTGGGGTCCACCCTGGAAGCCAAAGGAGTCCATCAAGAAATAACAGCGCAACTTAAATTCACCAAGGATTTGTCCAAAACAGCGGGAGAGGAGCTGGTTTTCTATATCTTCGCCTAACTCAGGAGCACAACAGACAAGAAATCCACGACCTCTCTTCACACTGAAAACTCAGCCAGATTGGGAGGCTGGTCCAGAGTCCAGTCCTGTCGGGTTCTCCAGACCCCTTTGGGGACGCCGGGTCTCTGCTCGCGCTCCCGGGGCAGCAGACAGCGCCGAAGACCCGCACTTGGAGGGGCGTAGGCGATCGCTCTTCGCTGGGAGCAAAAGAATCTAAAGGTCGGACCGGGCCGCGGTTAACTGGGCGGTTTCCATGGCGCCCAGGAAGAGCAAACTGTGGCGAAACAACTGCGCTGCTCTGCTGATGTGCTGGAAAAGGCGGGGGAAACCCGGGGGAGGGCGTGGGGGTGGGGAAGCGGGCGGACCCGGGCCTGGGCGGGGTGGTCACGTGCGCCCGAGGGGGCGAGGCCCCAGCCCGCCCGCAGTAAAACAAGCCGGCTGAGCGGCGGTGGAGAGAAGTTTTTGAGTACTGGAGAACGCTTACTTCAGGCAGGAATAGCTAACAGCTGGCCGCCGAGGCATCTGCGGGGACAGGGATCCTCAACGAAAAGGGACAGCAGGCACTTGCGGGTGAGCGCAGGGAGCGTCAGTGGCCGCTTTGACGTAGATTTGGATCTCAGTTTCCCCTGGGACAGAGTCTAGCTTTCGCTTGCCGGGCTAGTTTCCTAGCGCCAGCCCATTAGACTGCTGGAGAGCGCGCTGCCCGGTGCTGCGGTGTGGCTGTGGCCATGGTGAATGAGGGCCCCAGCCAGGAGGAGCGCGACGACACCCCAGCACAGAGCTACGATGAGGTCCAGGAAGACGCTCCCAGCAGCTCGGTGTACCCGAGTACCTTGGTCCAACCCACTAGCTTCGGCCCAGAGGAGCTAAGCGTGATCAAGGTGAGCAGGCGGCGTTGGGCTGTGGTCCTGTTGTTCAGCTGCTACTCCATGTGCAACGCCTTCCAGTGGATCCAGTATGGCTCCATCAATAACATCTTCATGAACTTCTACGGAGTCAGCTCCTTTGCCATAGACTGGCTGTCCATGTGCTACATGCTGACCTACATCGTGCTGCTCCTGCCCGTGGCCTGGCTGCTGGAGAAATACGGTCTTCGCACCGTCGCTCTCATTGGTTCTGCTCTCAACTGCCTGGGGGCCTGGGTGAAACTGGGCAGCCTGAAGCCCCACCTCTTCCCCGTCACTATGTTGGGCCAGATCATCTGCTCCGTGGCTCAGGTCTTCATCCTGGGCATGCCTTCCCGCATTGCTTCCGTCTGGTTCGGAGCGAATGAAGTCTCAACAGCCTGCTCCCTAGCTGTCTTTGGAAATCAGGTAAGTAAAGGACTCTGTGGATAGGTGCTGAAAGGAGAGGATGCTCTGCCCTGCAGCATGGGACCGAGTGCTAGATGGAAGCCAGCTGGACCCTCCTGTATGAGAGCTGTGCTACTGTGACCAACAGCCTTTGTGACCACAGCTGGTTTTGTGGCCACTGTGACCAATAGTGTGCTTGGGTGATTGTGACTGTCAGTGACATTATAAGATAAGACTGGGGACCAAAAGCACGGGACCTTTTTGTTCACCCAGAATGCATGCATCTAAAGCATGATCTACTTTGATGGTCCCTCCTGGTTTCAGTCCACCGGCTTGTACAGACTATTCTACTGTCATTAGTGTTTTTAGCTGGACCAACTGTATTTCCTAGAATGCCATATTCCCATGTGCTGCATGGAACTGTCAGGCTAAGCCTGGTAGTGCTTGGCACAGTGTTTACCTGCTTTTACACACAGCTGAAACCAGGACAGTAGGATCAATGTGTTGTGCCAAACTCCTTCCTTGGGCTTTAGAGCCAAGTCCAGCAGAATGAAATAGAAATCTGGCTCTGTATTTCCAAAAAGGCTTCTTATATAAGGGCATATCATAATTTTTCTTTCCTTCTTTTTGGTAGGAAAATTGCAAAGTTTTCTCACCTCAGTGTGGTTCTGATCCAGAAAGGTAGATGCATTCTGTTTGTTTTTGGTACTAGGAATGGAACTCAGGGACTTGTACTTGCCATGCAGGCATTTGTGTCACCAAGCTATATCCCCAGCCCAAAGATGGGTATATTCTCAATCTGATTGCTTTCCCCCAAATGTTTGGAGCAAATACTTATGGGGTTATCTTTAAGACAGAACTACTCTTTCACTTCAGCATACTTGGCTCTGCTGTGTGTTTAGCAAAATGACCAGTAGCCCTTCTTTCTTATAGACCTATTTTCTCTGACCTGTTCACTTCATTTTTTTTTTTTTTTTTTT